TGGACGCTACACTTTCGTGTGTGATGTTGCTTGCTAGTCGTGGATTGACTGAGTCTTGATTACCGGTTAAAATGTTGCTCTTTGGCGTTGGTAATTTTTATTTGGAACTGAGTAACGCCGCAACGTCGCCAGCAGAAACCTGGTATCTCGATGCTGATGGTTGCGGCTCCATAGTAATCGCTGATTTTACTGCTGGTGGATCTTCTGAGAGCCCTTCAAGGTTTATAAAACTCAGGTTTCCAGGTGGTCAACACACATTAAGTTCTCCCAATCGTAGTATTCCATGTGATGTACACCTGACATGTCAAAAATGTTGTTGAACGATTTGAACTGGATAAAATTAGCAAACGAAAATGTGTTTACAAAATAAAAATAGTTCGGTAGCCAATGAAAATACCATGTTCATTTGCATATCGACCGTGAAAATACCGAAAACATTATTGCATGGGTGATATGCAAATTAGTTTGGGCCAAAATAAGTGACTGCCTAAAAGTACCATTACTGTTGTTCAAATTTCATGTCACTCGGCAAGTATATTCATGTGCCCCAAGGGGAAAATATCGTACTTCTAAATATTGTTTATTCCGAAAAACTGTACTCCTGAAGGGACTACTTTGTTTGCTCTCGGACCTCATTTGCATATGGGTTGTGGAAATACCGATTTTGATTTCAGGGACGAATCAAAATAAACTGCAGTACATATGTAATAATTATTCTTATAGTGTGACATTATTTGTTATTTTACTGTACAACAGACAAATCATAGTGTTTTCACGATCAGAGCTTTGCTCGAATCTTTCACATATGTAACATAACCAGCCACAGGACGACATTTAATTTTTCTTATCAGTAACTGTCTTTGCAATATGCTGATATGAAAAAAAATCGAACATTCTTGCGGCCGTCGATTTCGTGTTCAGTACGTCGTCACAATAATAATACTCAAACGCGGATCCTGTATATATGTATGTATATATATATATATATATATATCAGTGATCACCATGGAATAACTCCAAAATTCACTCCCGAATACAGTCATGTTCAACATTCACATTTATATCTATATATATATCTTCGATTATTCTAAAAAAAAGTGCTCAGTACAAAGTATATGTAGAGCGGATAAATACGGTAATGAAGGAATTAATATGAATATTGAATCTCGACATCACTGTTTCGTAAGGTACAAGTACCTCACTTTATGTTTAATAATTCACTGCACAAACGAGCATACATTATAAACTTCGCAAATAAAAACGTACAGGTTTAAGTGTTACATAATAAGGCGTTTGGTCTGTTTCAGCGTGATGATACAAATTAATTAATTTTGTTTAGTATGGATTGGCGAGGTCTAAAAATTATGATGAATTTTTCCCGACAGATATCATATATATATGTATATAAAATAAAGATAAATTTATTTACCTCGAAGTGGTGGGCAATAATACCCTTGGGTGATAGTGTTGTTATCACAGCAATATGTACAGTTCGGCGTCACGTAGAATGAAGCTACACTACATTCATTAAAATTTGGTTCCATTTTGGATTCTTCGATACAAGCCTGAAACCGATGGAAAATAGATAATCTAATAAGAATAGAATAACACAGTGCAATTATCATTATACAGTGACTATTCAAAGAAAACAATTGCTCATATATTACAATAGCTTTGTTATTTATTTTTACTTTTTTGACTCCTAAATGTGTCAACATTAAGTATGAAATATGGTACGTTAATAAACTGAATTTAGGAAATTATATTATAATACCGCGAAATATAGATATTTTAATTTAATAGTTCCCTGTGCATCTAGTTTGTTTATGCTAGCAAACCGAGCCTAGTCCACTCCACCAGCTGTGTGTAAGATGTTTAAAAGTATATCAAGCTAATCCCAAACGATTTTGGATTTAGATTTTACGTAATTGGCGAGATACTTGACAATCGATATCGTACCGTACTCCATTCTATTCAAATCTATAAACCTTATATGTATTGCTCACAAATATTATGACAAAGTGTCATTAAGTGAAAAAAATTATATAATGTTGAACTCACTTCTGTTTGTTGACACGCCGATATAAATAAAAAAACACTGTTCGTTACCAACAGTTGACTCATGCATTCAGGCTGTAAAAGTGAAATGGTTGAAACTGAATTTATGTGGCAATAAATAACAGGTAAATTAACTGAAATCCGCGAAACAGTTGAAGTGAAACAACGGAACAATGAAAAACAAACAAATTCATTGAAGCACGAAAAACAATGCAATCATTTTGATAATGTGGCTTTTTAAAATAAACGTCCAAGAAGCAGTATATTTCATGTTTTTTATTTCGTATTACTATAGTAATTTAGATTAAAGAGGAAACAATTTGCATTCAATTGAAATGAAGTTGCGAATGAAAAGAACAACTCACTCGTGCGCTTGTACATTGTTCATATTTATCAGGATCAGATTCTGGTTTCAGCAAGCACTCGGCTAAAGTCATCTTATCCGATAGTTTACACTGTAAACACTTGTTATCTATTAATTATACATTATAACGGTTAGTCCAAAGTGAAATAACATAAGTACCGCTCCTATACCAATTTAGGTAAACAAGCACATAGTGGAGAAACCAGCACTGTAAGAGTGTAGAAAGATGGATCGCCTGTTTTGTAGCAGAGAAACGACGTTGAGAGTTACACAAACAAATACTACCTTGTCCCTGGCCAGGTACCATAAGCTCATGGGGGTTTCCTTCAGCACGCTTTACAGGTTTGGCATTGGACTGACAAGCAATCTGAAATACAAGAAAAAAAAACGTGGTCGTTTTACAAATGCGCCATTATTTGAAACACGTTCACCGATAATCTAGTTGATGACTCAGATGGCTTTGTTTTATTTATTTTAGAGACTTTTTCTAAACCTACAATCTATCGTTTGCAGTGAGTGTGCACATGCGTGAATAATTTGTTTAATTCTATGATGTATCATTATATTTGAAATGCGGTCATTGCGTTATAGGCGAATTATTTAACAGATATTCACTTGAAAAAAAAGACATTGTCTGACATATTATTGTCAAGATATTCTGAAAATCACCACCAAATACCACTTACAGTAATATACAGATAATAAAGCTGTACCAACAGAATAATTGTGATTATGTTATTTTAACATAATGCCAGAGGCACATATGGCTAAATAATTTTTGAAACTCAACACAGGATACATTAATGCACAAATACAATAGATATGCTATTTATAATCTATATTACACAGATTAATTCATATTAAATTCTTATTGTCATAGGTCTATGTACAAGTTCCCATTCACAATGTAACTGTTGTGGATCCTGAATTCATAGGATATATATTTTTAAAATATCATGAAAGCATTTGAATTTCCAACATAATACTGTGCTAACCAGGCCGTGTCAAACCCGTATAAAAAATATATTAAAAAATGCGTCACTTCTGTGGTCCAAACATTTCTCCTGGTGCTGTACATCAATCTATATACATGTTTAACTATTCAACAACTACAGAAAATTGGCATTCTCCCACATACTCCAAGCACTGCTGGCATAGTCGTGTTGTAAGCCACTCCCAGCAAATGTTAAACATTTTAGCCAGACAATTTAAACTGTACTTTTTTTTAGCTTAGGCATATTGCCTGCAACCCCAAATCCCGGCACCGTGTACAATTATTGCAGTATTAAAATATCAAATAGCTTGAAGTAAAACATGAAGCTTAGTCCATCGACTGTAAGTTCGAAAAAAGCCCATGCTCCTGTAATAACTTGACATAACATAAAAGAGCAAATACCTGAAACACTTTGAAATCAGAATGGTTGTGTTTATTAATTTTCACTGAAGACAGAAAAGTAATACAGGACCAACTGTGTCGTCACCCATTATGTAGGATGTCATTCTTATAACACCGCGTGGTAGGTAGCACGGGTTGAACTGTACACAATCTCATTGACGCAAGACAAACATCCTAACCACTTTACAGGCCCTTGCCGTTTAATGTACACGAATATGTTGGAATATAAGTATTTGGATAAATTATAATCTTGTGCATTGCCACAATTACCAAGCAGATATGTCCGAACTACTATGAATTTTGACGCCGTTCTTGAATATACGTTCAGTAGTTGCTTTGAAAAAACATATATATGGTAGTACACCCAATGAACGTCTGGAGGTGGCATAAGGTATAGGTTTGACTTCGTATTTTCCCAGGGATCACTCATTGAACTTTTTACTGGTCTTACTCTAGACTAGTAGAACATAAATTAAAATATCTAGTCATTAGTTACAATGTTGTATATCAATCGTTTATGCGGATTTTACAACAGGAGAAACAACTAGTCTGTGTCTGATAATTTTACACACAGGAAACCTAACATGATTTACAAAGACTGGAATATACATACGGGTTATACACAATGTACTAGGTTTAAATATGAATATAGGTTTTGTAGCTACTTTGGTAAAAATAAGATAATACCTTCCCCTTACCCAACAATTAATCAAGTGGGAGTGAACGTAGAGAATACAATTACTCACCGCGAGGATCACGAGACAGGACACAATCAGACAACGATGCATGGCGTCTTCATTCAGGATGAAGCAAAACATTGCTATGGGCTACTGGTGCAACTAATCTACAATATAAAGAGTTTTGATTGAGAAATATGGCATCACAACTTGTCAATCATGCCGCGTGTTACCCAACGCGTGATACCAGATGTCAGCTTAAAAAAAACAGTGATAAGTATCTGACTGCACAGGGCGTATTTTGTGTTATGTTTTGTCGCATAATTGCCGTCATGTTTTCTATACTTGCAATAAATATATTTCCATTAAGGGTATATGTGAGTGTATCTCAAATCATGACAATATGAAAATATATTAATTTTTAAAAATGCATGCAAGTCTAGCATTTAAAATCATAACATATGCATATAATATTTTTCTGACGCACAAGAAGGGATTAACTAACAATATATTTGACCAACTATGAACAATCGCGAACAATGCCATATAAGCTGTCAACTAAATATTGGTTTGTTCCAGCCACCCTAATCCTTTAAATCTGCTTGCACGCACGCATGTATGTTAGCACAAGACGAAAACTTAAAATATTGAAATATAGGTCATATTACCATTCACAAAATTAAAGTATGATTCATCCTAAATTGTTGATACTAGCATGAAGACACCCGAAAGGAACTAATGTGATTTATTTGCTAAAGGGGTAACGCTCATTCCTAGGGATTTTACCTAGTGCTCATGAGTAATTTCAATTCAGCAACATTGTATCATCACACTAAAATTAACGCTTATCGTTTCCCCTGTCACTTCATGAAGAAACGGGTGCTGTAAACACCTTAAGAAATGAAATATGTTTATTCAAACACGACAACTGTAATACTACTACTCGACTCGTTTTTAACGTTTAAACAGTTCGTTAACCTTTAATAGCGGACACATTCTGTTGGTGGTTGTGTAACATGTAGTTTACTATGATATGCAGAAATAATTGGCTCATTCATTAGCAATTGTCTTTCGACACAAATAGAGTTACAATACTGTAACACCACTACTAAAACGCGCTAACTCTGCAGCATTACAATCGACACTATCACTATAAGCTAGTTAACGACATGTTAAAGACGATAGTTAACGACCTGAATACGGGCTATGGACTCATATTCGCCTGCCAACATTGCCAACAGGGTAGATACATAATGCATTTTATGTGTATATAATAGATTACCTGTGTAACCCACAAAGATGTTTGACGGAAAGATTGTAGTAGAGCCTTTTATGACGAGAAACTCAATTCTATGCATATTCAATTCAATATGCATGAACCCTTAAGATAATTAGAATAAGAGATGAAACAATCTGAATTCTGGACCCAATTCCATCTATCATCTAACCCGGGTAACAAGACGGATGCTAAGACATTTTTTTTTCAATTGCCATTTTATTTATTCTACAGCACCCAGCAGATTATAGTGCACACCTACCCCCCGTACGTTATTAATTAAAATTTCATCACACATTTTTGTGCATTCGGTAATTTGTGATAACTTGTATCTGCTTGTAGGTCATAATGTTGTTGACGTTCAGTTTCCACATTACCTGGTGTAATGTCCACCTAATGTCCCGCAACTGTAAAAGAAATTGCGAGTTAATATTTCTAGCACTTTTTCAGAATAGGTAGTAGTCCTAGCAACTATTAGTCTCGATTGAACATTTTCACTTTGGAATTTTGGTTGTATTAAATCGAAAAACACTATATTCTCTTGATGCTAAGACAACGTTTACAACAACACTTACCAATTTCTTTCACCCCAACTTCTGTGAAATTCTGCATCACTTGTTGCATTCACACCTTCCGATGTAATCCTCTCAAATTCAGGATTTCCATTTGCATCGCCACATAAACCATGGATTTCAAAGCATTTACTGCTTCGGGCCGATTTCTCGCTATCCGCGCATTTTCACAAGCTCAAATACCTCTCAATAAACTGTATAAAGTGAGTTCTAACAACATTACGAAGGCTGAATGCCACTTTCCTCTCATCTAGTCAAAGGAACAATAATATTTAGGAGAACAATTTATTCACTTGAACTATTTTGTATAAAATGAAAGTGAAATGAAATAACCCAAGTTGTTTTTGATGATAGGAAAATATTGTTAGACAATTCACACAAGGTGTTGTCAGTAGATAAATATAATGTTGTATTCTCGTTTTACATTTCTCATATATAAATGCATAGCTACAAGTATTTCTGTAAATTTAGTTCATAATTAAATTTTTAATCAAGATACAAATGACTCGACATTTATTCATGCAGTGTTCTTTATACCACCCTCAGCCTAATAAGAATATATGGCAAAGTATATTAGTTTATTAATTATTAGATGAAGACAGAGATAGAGAAGTGAAAAGCATCTGCAGTTTAATCTTAATATATTTCAGCAAGTTTAATAACATCACATCATTTCAGTAATGTTCGCAACGGTTTTTGGCATTTGGGATGTTCAAGTTAAGCTCTGTCTTTAAGTTAAGCAACATGTTTTTAGAATTTTGTCCATTGTGTCTTTTCGACTCTTTCCCTACGGCTTACTTAATTAAAAACACGCTCTCTACAAACCAGAATAACATATTCAGACAATGAATGCTGGTATAATGAAATACTACTTTAAGTGTTATTAACTGCATCAGCAAACATATAGTCAGTTTACCGGGACCAAAACAACATGTCACAGTGACGTGAACGGCGCACATAAGTATCCCCTAAGGCGTGATATGGATATTTTGTTCAGGCCAGGAATCTGATGAAATTGTGATGTTACTGCTGCTTGTACAACTTGGCCGAAATAAAATTGTTACATGGAAAGAATTATATGATACTGAATGGATCGAAATGGAATAATGAGCATTCTAGGTTGGTAAAACTTTGGATTACCTCACACAAGTGCATAATGAAATCATCATAGTTATCAGGATGAACGTACCTGCCATATTGAGAGGATGCTTCGGCAGTTCAGCCACCTATAGTGATATTATTATTAAGCTTAGAATCATCTACAATATTAATAATTTACACAGTCTTTTCAATAATAAGAGATAATACTGACTTGTATAATGGATTTCATCGTCGGATGTGTTAACAGTGTCTGTTATGAATGTGGAGGTCAATCCTGCATCAGATGCTTGGTGATGTTGGCCCAATTCCTTATGCAAGTTGCCCATATAGTATATGCTTAGGCATTCGATCAATATCCATGCGATTCACCTGATGCACGTCATTCTACCTGACCCTGCAAGGAATATATACTTAGTTTGTTGTTTATAATCACTTTATTGGGCACCTCATTTGAATTGAGACAATGGCGTTAAAAGTATTACTGATTTCAAGTTTTTACTACCCGCGCCTTTGCAATGGTAAGGAAACAACTATCTAAGTGTTAGAAGGCTGAGACAGCAAATATGTTTCTGGACGTTATGCAGTTAATAGTTCAATGACTTTCAGCATCCATTAGAGGAAAGTAGTCAGAGGTCATCACACTTTTTACATTAACGTTATCTCGTTCTTGTCCAGTTATTGGGATACATATAGCTTACATGATAAGTATGTCTTAAAGCAATGATATAGCCTTGGTTTTAAAGTGTTTTTGTTTTCCGCCAACCCATAATGGGCGAAAGCTCTCTTTGTGCGACATATATGGGGCACAAAGTGTGCTTGAGTCCATTATGGGTTGTCGGGGAGTTCATTATTGTTATTATTAGCGTTGTCAATACCAGTCGATTTGCTGCCTCTAAAAAGCGATAAAGTTGGAGAAAAATCAACAGTGAACGAAAGAGTTTCACAGTCACTGGCCTGTGAAGCTAAATAATTTAAAATGTCTTTCTGGAAATTGTTTCCACAATCTCATATGGCGAACTAAGAAAGAAACTGGTTTTAATCCATGAAATATTGTTGTATTGAACTCATTTACATTGCGAGTGAATGAGTGACTGATGCGTGGTGTGGAGTAGCATTGCAGTGATCGCACGAGCGAACGGCACGCCGTGACTGTTACGACGTATCGGTATCCTCCGCTGTCTTGCACTACGCTACGCTAGATCGCCGCTGTGGTCCAGCTGGATCGACTGTGAGTGCGTTACCAGGGGTACATGTATACAGTTGCATCACAACCCCATCCCCATGGTGATTTCAAACCATCAAGGTAGATGTTATTAGGAACTGTCCTGTCTGTGTTATAGTCATTTTCAAATTGTACGGGAGGTCGGTGATTTGACAAATACTTACAAGCCAAACGAAACATGGCTGGAAAGCTGGTGGGTGTTAGCCATCTTAGAAGGAGAACCAACACTTATTTTTATCTGACTGTATGAATAAAAAAAAAATACACACCTGAAAACACGGATACATTCTTTTGCTTATGCAAACTGTGCTCGGACTGTGACATTTACCGGGAGCCGACGTTGAGGAAATACAAGTCACGTCGGTCTTTCGTCGATCTCGTTTCGCAAATTGTGTGGTACTACTCACTACAAAAACAGAACAAATTCATCTCTCTCTCTCTACTCGTAGACATACATCGTACCCACACTTAGTTTATCGCATTTGCTTGGATAAATCACCCTCGGTTAACCTCACTTCGGAACACGATAGGGCGAAGTAGTCGAGAGGCAACCAGGACAGCGGCATCAGTCGCGGAATCTAGAAGCGCGCGTGCTACATGGAACGCTTCGACCGGACGCCGATGATTTTTCTGATTTTGACATTGATCTCCGCTGTTATTGGTAATATACCGTTTTATTTGATGCCGATTTTAGTATTAAACACTTGTTATCTAACAATTTCTCCTCTTTTTCAATAGTTTCTCCTTTATACGTTTTCAAAAACAACATTGTATTAACATCTATGGCACAGGGTCTTGATGCTCAATAATGGGGTACGTTATCGCGAATAATCTGTTGCAATGACGTCATAAATTCCACTGGTATTAATAATGATATAATATAAGTAGGTATATTGTGTGAAATTAGAACAAATTACCAACTGTAGTAGATATGTAACATATACCTAACATTTTATTCATAGTTCTTCTAACCAT